AGCAGAGACAGAGGATGTATACCTTAAAGACGTTTCCCACGGAGAGGTCAAGCTTCGGAACACAACTTAGCCAAAGTCACTGCAAGTGTAATGGTAAAAGTTCTTCATAAGCATTTTGTTATAAAATCCTACACAATGGTAAAGTGCGACTGTAACAAACACTAAGGAAGTAGAAACGTTCTTTGAATTTTCTCTACCTCTTTCAACCGAGACTGCTTGACATCATTGCTTTAGCTCATCTAACTAAGATTGCTTGTCATCCACCTAATCATTCATCTCCCTCATTTTGCTGCTTGACCATCTCATCATAATCGTGTCCCCACATGCTTCATCATTTCCAGCGTCTTTTTGGTGTCTGTATAGCTTCAAGGCCTCTTCTTCTTTCTGCCTGGAAAGAAAAAGAATTTCAAACTCAAAAACGCAACAGAGGGATGCCCCTTTCATGTTTTTGGGGTTAACTTGTTATACAGTTGAGTTGTGTACTAAGGAATGTACCAATGCACAATAATGGTTACAGACGGATATTACCTCTTTCTTGTCTTCATCAAGACTTTAGTTGTGTTCGATTAGTGCTTCCTCCTTTTTCTGTACAACTCTTTGGACCAAGGCTAGAGTTCATCACTTAGCTTCTCTCTCTCTGAAGCGACAACTGCTTCTGCGGAATAAAGAGTGCAAGGATTCAGAACAAAACTACATAAAGCTGAATGAAATTCCTGAAATCTAAAACACAAAGCTTTGGATGTAGTGAAGTATTGATCTGCATAGAAAGGGGCTGTTTCATCTCATCACAAATTTCTATAGAATTGTTGCAATAAGGATAAAAGAGAGTCTCTATACAGGAAACACATACCAAGGAGTGTAAATCCGACCACAACTGCTAATCTTGTTCTTTCACGTTCCATTTGTGTCTCTATTCTTACGTTGGATACCATCAAATCTGTAACAAACTGCAAGGAAGAAGACATCAATCAAAACTATAAAGGAAACAAGTGGAATGTAAAGAAGCTACGAACATGAAACAGTGTGGAAAAGGTGACAATCAACATAAAGATAACATGTAATCAGAAATGATTGCATAAAAATCCCTCAAAACTAATAACCAAATTCACTAAAACATAAAAACTTCACAAACTATACAAAAAAAAAAACGTATTGAGTTGTGACTAATGATCCCCCAGCACGGAGAGGGTTTGGAAAATAATTACCAGAGTTTCAAAACCATCCCCTTAAATGAAACTGCACACCCAAAAGCATTAAACAGAGAATCAAAAGATCAATTAAGGTTTCGAACAAACAATTAGGAATATCGGAAACCCAAAAGCAAGATATCGCGATGAGTACAAACATATAAAAAGGAAGGATTTAAAAGAACCCAAAGGACCGCGTGCGATCAGTTTCAAGATTACTGGAAACCCGATTAAACATAGAATATCTTAACGTATTCAAGATTACTTCAATAGTTACGCTTTGAACAATTAGGAAAATCGTGATAAGAAGGAATTTACAAGAAACCCTAACATAGACAGAGATGACGTACCTCGAGCGAGAAACCCCAACTACTTGATTGGTTTAACGCGATCGAGAATAGAAACCCTAATTAACGAAAGTGAATTAAATTAGGGAACAATTAGAAATATATATATTACTCAGGAACAATTTCACATTTGCAGAGATCGAAATACTTACTAATATGGAATGTAAAACGGATTTGCTGTTTCTTCAAATTCTAGACGATAGAATTTTTTCGAAGAAAAGAAAAACGAAGAAGAGAGAGATCAAAAGAGTTTTTCTGGAGATCGAATGATTTGGGAGAATAATGTTTTGATTTAACACGCGTGTCTCCTAACGGTTATAATTCAAAATTGACTCGAGAATCTCTTTTTCGTTTACACGTGTCCGTTTATTTTCAAAAATAGTGAGTCGGTTTATGTTTTAACTGAACTGGTCTTGCATTTTTACAAAACTATCTAAACCGAACCGGTTCCTTTCCACCATGTGTAAAACACGTCGTCGTTTTGATCTTTAAAACAGAGATGGACATTTTTTAATTTTTTTCCATTCCCTCCCACCGGCAAATCACACTGAGTACTTAAAACTGTTTCTGTCGTCTCTTTCTCTTCGAACTACTCTGCATCTCTTGTCTCTTCGAACTACTCTGCATCCCTTTTCTCTTCTTCTCTCATTTTCGGACGCACTAGACGTCTTCAATGTGCATAATATTTCTCTAATTTGGGATAGTTTCTTGTTTGATCAAGACTCGTGTTGTAAATTTAGAACACTAGGAGTGTGATTTTTTTGCTATAGATGCATGGTGATGATCCTTATGCTGGTAAAGTTTGTAGCTTTTAGGTTCACTTTCAATCCAGGATATGATCTAATTGCGTTCTAATGGGAGTTTGAATCTTGAATTTAGGGCTTGAAAGAGTAAGGGTATGTTCCTGCATGATCTTTCTGTTAGGTTTAGTTTCTGAGTTTTAGGCTTGCCAATGAATGAATGTTGAGTTTGTGACTTTAATTAGTATGTGTTTTGAATTACGGCTTGAAACCGTCTGATGATTATAATGTTTGGTTCGCAATGGAAATGTAGGCCGATCATAAAGATGAGTTTATCTCTAGTGGAAATTGTCTTTTTTTGTCCTTATTTAGTGTTTTACAATGTAGGGTAAAACGAGTTGGAGCATTATATGTGACTTGCCAATTGTTCAAGACCTACCTCAGGTGGAACTCTGGTTAACATTCAGAACCATTGATGAGAGTGCTAAATAGATGTCCCTAATTTCTGTATATTCAGCTTGGAATTGTCAATCTTTATCGAACTGTAATAAAAGTATTGAGACTGCTTGGATATTTGTCTTTTAGGAATTTCCAAGAAGAAGAGACAAGGCCTTGTCAAGTCCTCTGGAAGCAGGTTATCTACATGTATTATACAGGAAGATGACAAATACATCGTGTATGCTTAGCCTCCACATGTTAAAAAAAAAAAAAAATCAATTCTTTTTAAAAATTAATAAATTAGTAATTATATACGACCTAAACTTATTGTGCAACTTTGATTGTTAGAAAACAAAATTTATAATTCCACTACCAACAGACTATTCATACCAAACATATTAAAATATGTAAAAACTTGAGATTGTTGTCGAAGAATAACTCGGATGTAGTTTTATCAACCACATTCAATAAAGACATGACCCATATTTTGGATAAATCAACAATATTCTTAAGTGTTCACTTAAGTGTAACACTTATAACAATTATTAAACTAAGGTGTATAGTCAGAAATTAATATTTAAAATTACTATATGAAGGAACAGTCATATATAATGCTTCAAGTGATAATTCAATTATCTTCTATTTTCAGAAAAGATTATCAGAAAAGTTTTTAAATTTAATGTTCAGGTCACATCCTACAATTATCAGTCAAGTTCAATTGGATTAGTGGTTACAAATATCACATACAACCAAAGTATTAACGAAGATGTACAATATATTTAGAATCAATTTTTTGTAAATATAAATCAGAAAATTATAAAAATAATTAACACCGGATAGAATAAATCAATGCTTCAAAAGAAAATAAAACAAGAAAATAAAAATATCAAATACATCGAAAGATTTAAAACAAAGTAAAGCTGACAATCTAAATGAAAGAGCAGAAATAATTGAAGAAGTTAAACGGCCAACAAAAAGAATAAAATAATAATATTTGAAGACGATTATGTTACTTAATTTTACTATGCTAAATATATAACATTTAAATTTACACATTTTCAGACACAAATTATATTTTCACTCTTTTGTTATATAAGATTACTTTTTAAATTTTTTTTATCTACATAGAAAATAATAGTTTATTAAATGATTCAAATTAACATATATAAATTATATAAAAATAACTTTAAAATAAAAAATTTAACATCTTTTCTTCCGCGTGTTTACGCTCGGATTAATTTCCTAGTTTAATTAATAAAAACCTCAATTTAATTTAACATCCTCACTAATGGAAGTGCTCTAAGTTGCTATTGGTCTACAGCTACTATTGCGGTGGGCCATTTCAACTACTATTCCTTTTGAGATCGAAATATTTGGTTGAACTTTTCTTTGGTATACACATTACAATTAGGAGCTTTCCTGCACCATACACAAAAATAACAATGGTACATATAATAATTTTTATTTAAAAAAAAATACTTTACATTGGGAGACTATTATTTTATTTGTTAACTTATCCGTTTAGAAAATAAATCATAAATATATTTTTGTAATTTTATTGCCTTTGGTGTAATGATTTCATTCCGATTTTGTTTAAATTTCAGTGAAGTTATAAATTAATTTTTTAACTTATATTAGATTTAGTTATTATTTATAATAATATTGTTTCTTAACATCTAATTTTAAATATGTTTATACTTAGATTATAAATTATAATAACATAATACTCTTGTGTTATGCACATAATAATAATTTTAAATGTAATATTTTTATTTAAAAGAATGGTTTATATTTAATCATTTTTAATTTTATATTTTAACTTCATTGGTTGAATTATGAATTTTATCTGAACTTTTATTTTTGCTTAGTTTACTTATTTCCATTTTACTTTTAAAATTTACCAAAATATAAGTTATTATTATATTTAATAATTTTACCAATAACTATTTATAGAAAAGTTACATTAATAGTGATATATGAGTTAATAGTCCTTACCAAATTAAAAATACATTGCTAAGAATATAAAAAATTTATAAAGAAAATAGTATATGATCATAGATCAATGATATGTCATCATTTTTCAAAAGTCATGTCATCTTTTTTTTTCTTAGAGTGATTGTAACGATGATAAATGTACAAATCACTTGGTAAATAATATATAGGAGATTTGTTGCTGAGATAGTCGAAACATAACTCTGTACAAACGAAACGTATACCCGAAGAAGATATACATTGCAATATGGGGATAAGAATATTTAAAACCTTAGAAGTTTTGAAGAACTAATTAGGACACTACCGCTATTTTAAGAGAAACTTTTAAACTACTTAGCACAAATAAATAAGTAAAACAATGAATTTGAGATTTTTTATATGATAATTACTTTGATACGTTTTTAACATTTCTTTACAACATTACCTATAAAGGGAACAAGACCCTCAGGCCACATCAACCAAAAAAGACTGATCACATCCGATAAAAGAAACATCTTCGCTGATCAGTAGTTGTCGTGTCTTTACATTTCAGCGAATCTGATGGTATTGTGTGATGCCTCGCTTTGGTGGTAGCTTTCTCAATATGAAGAGGACTAGAGAGGAAGGTAATATCTCTACCAACTGTGATTGAATGTTATGGATCAGGTTACAAAACATCACAAACAAACGAAAAGGTTTTTTTCATAATGAAGTTAATGTTCATGATGAGATTATATGATTAAGCTAAGAGAGAGTTTACCAGGTAATATATGAAGTTAAGGATGGGATGATCCAACACGTCAAGGTTTGCCCCCTCGTCGAAAGCAGCAAAACACATCTATATACGAATGGCTAATTTAATTAGTTGTCAACTCTAGAACTGGCTACTATAGTAGAGAGGAGAAGATGATCCAACCAAGGAAGTAAGGAATGATAGATAACAACATAGCGATGTGTTTGTGTGCGTCCTTACCATGATACATCTGATGAGGAAACACGTAAAGCATATGGTCGTCACGTAACCAACCTACCATACATAAGAGAGTAAGGAGGTAAACAGTCAAGAAGCAGAAGTTACAACTAACGATTTTGTACAATTCATGTATCACCTCCTGCAGCTTCTTGCGCCGCCCTTTTGATTCTACTGGAAACCGTTGCAACATCAGGAAAAGCCTGCCATAAGATAGATATGCAAGGACACAAGATCAACTATTAAATGCAATGCTATAATCATTTTCAATTCTATGCAGATGTATTCGGGCTTAATTTAACACCAAGGGAATCTAGTCTATCTAGGCATCAAAGCTGAAAAAGAATGCAAATGCCTATGACTGCAAGCAAGATGGCCACAGATTGCGATCCCAATGCTCGATGATGACTCTTGGTAACACAATTCCTAGTAAAAATGGTTTGACTGGTACTAACAAAAGCTATGGTAATGTCAAAATTTAATACATTCTCAAGTGGCGGAAAATTTACCTTCCACCGTAAAGTAAAAATCCAAGGGCAGCAAACAAAGAAGCACCTGCGATTATATATTGATGAGACAAGTACAATGGATTATGTATAACAAGAGAGATGTAGAGTAAACATGCTCGAGTAAAGCTAATTACCAGCAAAGAACATTTTTGACAGGATTACCATAACACGAACAGGCTTCCACCACAAAACCAACCAAAGAGCAATCTGTAAGTAATACAGCAGAGTTAGTCCATGAACAAAAAAAGCCCCATATGACCCCACAAAAAAAAAAACAAAATGAATGTCTAAATTTCACAAATATACCTGAACTACATAAACAACAGCATTAATTGTGAAGAAGCCTGGTCTCAGTCCATCAGTGGACACAGCACGCGCCTGTCCAAATCAAAGAGTGTCTTGAGTAAACTAGAAAACAAAACAGACCAGACTACTATCAGGTAAACAGAAATACCTGATAGTAAATTTCTGCCCAGAAGAGGACTAGAAGAGCATAGGTGGTGAAGAAAGCAAGACTTGGGATATCAAGCAAGATATGTTGCAGTATCTATCACAGCAAGATTCACAAATTCAGAAAATTTTCACATACACAATCCCACTCAAGATTACAAAATTGATGATGAAAGACGCTCCACCTCTGGATGCATGAACTGCACATCTCTTCTAAACACAAAAACCACAGCCCTCACTGCATAACAGAAGCTAACCACAATCAACCAACAAAGACGTTACACAGAGAGAGAATATAGATCACAATCTCGCAGCACAAACCTCCGTTCACAACGAAATTAAGGAAGTGAAAGACCTTCTGCGTCGTCCATCCATACTCAGGAACTCTCAATTGGATTCTCACAAGTTGTATCTACCAAACCAAACCAAAACAAAATAATCAATCATAAGATATTCCTCTGTTACAGAATCCTTAACCGATGATTCAAATTCTAGAACGAAGATACGTTACCACAGCGACGATGGAGACGATTCCGTAGAGAACAGCGAGAGCATGGAAGATACGATCCTGCCAAATCGGCGACTCGTTTACATCCGTCCACCAGCTCGAAGCTTCCTTGAGATTCAACGCTTCCACCGCCGAGGAAGATGACGTCATCGTCATCATCTCCGACGCATATTGCATAATCTCCACGCCGCCGATTCTCATCTGTTCAGAAGAAAACGATTCAGGTACCTTCTCGATCTTTTGAATCAACCTCTTTTTATTTAATTTGTAAAATCAAATTAAAAAAGAAACGGCCGACGTCGGAGATGAGAGAGGATTAGAGAAAAAGAAATATTAAAATAACTGATCACACGGGCGGGCACGGGTGATAGCCGGTGATTTTCTTTTGGGGGCTGGATTTGTTGTCGAATGTTGACTGACACGCTGCTCCACGTGGCACATGTGGATAAAAGAGCAAAGCCAAGCTGGCTCATCCATAAAAACATGATGGGGTACACACGCGATGTGAGATAGATCAATTGTATCTACCATAACTAAGTGAAAAAGGTAAATGTTTTCTAACTCATCTAACCTTGACCTTGTTATATGTCTAGGTCGGTCGAATATTCATATCAATCAGTAATAACCCGATTTTTGCTGTTTAGAGTAAAGTATTATTTCTTTCGTTTTCAGTAGTCATAGTCCTCTAACAATTACAAAATTTCGTTAATGTTTTAGTTTTACATAAGAAAAACGTTCTATACAAATCCCTTATATACTAAATCACAAGTCACATGGCCACTAAAAATATGAAAAATGTTTTAATCTAAAATAATCAATTAAAAATAATCTTTGAATTTCAGTTTTTCGTAAACTATAAAAAATTGAATCCCTATTTTTTTGCATATCAATTACAAACACGTTCAAATTTTGAAAGGAAAATTGTGCCATTTATAATTAAAAATCATACCACAATCTTTTTTACAGATTAACTTCTATATAACTTCAAGTAACTAATTTATTCTCCCTGTCTTTTTTCTTATCATGTAACTTCTTCATCCTTTTCACCAAAGAAAAACTTCTTCATCCTTTTTTCAGTGTTCTGAGTGTAGTAAAAATTATATATATAACTAAAAAAAACTTCTTCATCCTTTTTTTTCTGTGTTCTGAGTGTAGTAAAAAACATATACAAGTATATATATGGCTTTTGCAAAATTAATTTTCTTCCATTTTCAATTCAATGATCTCTTATTCTTTTTAAGTCTTTCTATATGATTCATGTTAAAGTCTTGAAGATGTTACATGAATATACACTCCCATTTCAAAGATTTCTTCAACAACAAAGAAAAACTCAAGAGATTTGTTATGATTTAATTATTTTAAAAATATGTTTTCTTATAGAACATTTCAACTGTTTTAATGGAAACGCTCTTATTAGAGATGTGAAGTTATTCTTAAATGTTAAAAGCTATATTCTTGTGGAAAAAGGTAAATATATTTACATTTATAATTATGTTATCTAAACTGTTTGAATAAATGAAACTTAGCTTTGATATTCTTTAAAGTCTATGAACATACATTTATAGATTAACATATCCACTCAGTTTGCTATAATTTTTTTTGCAGATATGAAAAGCAGGTAAATATTCATTTAATAGAGTTACATACATTCATAGATTAAACACGTTCTATGAAATATATACTTTTATACAATATATTAAGTTTATGTTCCAATATGTTATTTAGGGTTAGAAAATATGTGATAAAATAGATAATATAGTTTGATATATTGATAAGCTTTACGATTTTATGATTTCTGCACACAAAAATATAATTTAAGTTATAAAGGATTAACAGTGAGATCAATTGATCCATGTGAAGCACGGGAGGTAACTAGTATTGTATAAGAACTAGTGTAGCATCATTTTTTTACAGTGGTAAACACAATCACTTTTTCTTAGTTACTCGGACCAATAAATAGTTATGGCCTTTTATGGGTCCACGGAACCCGGGCCACTATTTTTTCTTATAACATGCTTTTCGTTTTGTGTCAGCATATGATACTGAGTTTAATCTTTAGTGAAAAACGAAAGTCATATTTAACTTGCACTAGGTTAATAATGTTTCTTTCTAAATTAAGATGTTCATGATACTGAGTTTCTCTTTCAAAAACTATAAATCACAACAATAGCTATCATAACATATCCCTTTAATATTAAAGTAGAAACATTCCTATCAACTAACCTTACACTCATGTGTTATTATCTGAAATGTCATTTCCAATGTGGCACTCCTACAATCACTCTCACACTCCATATTTAAAAGTTCTCTCTTTACTAGACTAATTACACACACTGTCATTCTTTATTAATTGGTAGCATAACATAATATATTGTATGCTTCATAATTAACAAAGCTAACCACTCGGATTAATTTTATGCATGTGAAACCGGTTATCTAATAAAGGTAGTGAAATCACTATCAACGATTGCATACCTTATTATATATCATTCAATATTATTGCTCATATACCATTTTTCACATGCAACAAATTATACTCCTATTAGATTAGAAGATCCAAGTGTTTTATTCAATATACCGATTTTTTGTGATTATATAATAAATCATCATAAGTTGTGTTATTTTCGTTCACTATAATTTTATGTTTGAATTTTTTAGTATTAAAAAAAAATACGAACATCATCAATGTATTCTCATTTTTTATGTCCTATGAGAAATGATTTTTATAAATCCAGTTGTTCATCATTTTTTGTTGTTGATACATAAAAAGGAAAATCAGCATAAGTTTAGGTGTTTTCCATTCCATCTTAATAAAAATTAGGACTAAATTTAGTATGCAATTCAAATAGATTAACACAAATTAAGGCGGAGTTAATATGTCAACAACATAATTAGTTGTTTTTATATTTTTCAATAGGAGATTGATTTTGTTTCCTAAAATACATAGCGATTGTCATTCAGCCATAAATGTTATTTTCATTAATAAAACATTATAAAATACTTTATCAGTTTCCTTGTCCTTTTTTATATTTAATTGGATAACTAATCACAAACTAAACAACCAATCAACACCAGCTTCAAAGAATTTCTCGTTTCTCGATTGGGGAAGGTGATTTCCGGTATCCCTTTCTGGCGCCTATTTCTTTTTTTTTTTGAATTTACAACTCTTTCCCTCGACTTGAGTGGTCCCAGTTACCGGCGTTTAACTACGATTCTCTGTTAAGGCAATAGAATTTGAGTTTCCTTCCTTGCCACTTTTCCTTTCCTTTCTTTGTCAATTAGAATCAAATAAGGTCAAAACTTTCCTAAATAGTTTTGTGCTAATCACGACTTGCCTTTTTACCAATGATTTCACAAAAAATTGTGTCAGAATTTAGCGTGATCAAAGGAAAATTCTCTTCAATCACTTTGGACCTTCTCCCAGTCTACCGTCCCCTCCGTTTAGACATCATCTCTGTGAACGGCGAGCTTTGTTTTTTCATGGCAGAGTCTCTCCACAAAGCGATCAGTGCGATGTCTCTTGAAGAGGAGGAACCTCTTATCCTTGGTGATGACCCAAGTTTCATGGTGGTTGATGAGAATGAAAAAAGCTTGCTGGGGCGTTTACTAAACCCCGAATGCCAATCTATGGCTCGCATGATAGATTATATGCCCACAGCTTGGAGAGTTAGTGGACGAGTTCATGGTATTGCACTGTCAAGGGATCGCTTCCAGTTTGTCTTCTAGAGGGAAGATGATCTACTAACAGTCTTGGAAGATAGACCTTGGTCCTATAATCACTGGGTGATGGCTCTGGGAAGATGGACGGCTCACCCTTCTGAGGAATTTTTGAAGACAATGATGCTTTGGGTCAGGATCAGGAACATTCATGTGAATTTCTTCACAACTAAAATGATGTTTAAACTAGCTGAAGAAGTAGGGGCAATAGAAGAGATAGCTTATGACCCTAAGATTTCTCACACGAAGGACTATGTCAGGGTGCTTATTACCTTTAACGTCGACAATCCCTTGAAGGCCACAAGGAAGTTGAGCATTCCAGGAAAAGTGGTGACTATTGAGTATGAGTACGAGAAAATTCACAAGAGATGCTTCGACTGTCAAAGTATGACACATGAAAGAACTCGGTGCCCCTTACGTCAGAGAGGGCTAAACAGAGGAGGCAGAGGAGATCGAGAGCTGATGGGTGGATCCAGTAGTCATCAAGTGTTAGCTCCCAAATCTGATAATAGGATGGAAAAATATGAAGGCCCCCTGGCTTCCCCCCTCTATTCCCAGAACTATCGAAGCAAGACCAAAAGATGGCAATGTTATACATTTCTCATGCTGATGACACAGAAAGAATGGCACGTATCGAGAGGGTCAAGCAGAGCATTGTAGAGAATCAAGCCGTATCATCGGTGAGAATCACAAAAATCACACATGACCTCGATAAGGGTAAAGGTCATGTCTTCGCTTTCCCGAATCATGCTGGAACAAGACAACTTGAGACACCTAGAGAGGCATCTCAGAAGATTGATAAACATAACGAAAAGTCTTGGGAGTATGAAGCTGAGTCGGATTCCAGTTCTGCGCAGGTCCAAGCATTTTCCTACTCCTGCTATGGTTTCTACGGGTTTCACTTAGGCCCTTCTTCGGAGGGGCGAGTCACCGGGAACCAGAGCTCGAGCAAATCACAGAGGAGGCGTCCCCCCCTCTTGGAAAAGGAAAGAAAATGCCAAAATCAAATCTTCTATTCCCGCTCAGTCACCATCTCACCGACATCCTCCCAAAACATGAAGATAAAGTCTTCTATTGTGCTTGTATCAGAAGGATACAAAAATCCAAAAACCTCAGAACCTACGGTGGCTTCCGTATTGAAGCCGCTGTCATCCCAATGAGCATAATGAGTTGGAGCTGTCAAGGAGCTGGAAGCACTGAGACAGTTCAGCAAATTCGGGAATATCGTCGCAGATTTTTTTCCGGATTTTTTGTTTTTGATGGAGACTAAGCAGAAATTTGAGTTTGTTAACGGTATTTGAAAAAGTTTGGGATATGATCAAGTAATTACGGTAGAACCAGAGGGTTTGAGTGGAGGTTTAGCGGTTATGTGGAAATATAGTTATCAGGTTGTGGTGATTTCTAGGAACAAGAGGATTATTGATCTGAAGATATCGATAGGATCAACAACCTTCTTCTTGAGTTGCGTATATGGAGATCATGTTCGTGCTAAAAGAAGAGAAGTGTGGGATCGGTTGTCAAGTATTAATCTGTTGAGAGACGAAGCATGGTTACTATTCGGGGATTTTAATGAACTGCTATGAAATGAGGAGAAAAGTGGAGGAGCGATTCGTGAGGAATCGACATTCTGGGACTTTAGAGATATGATCCAGAACTGTAAATTGAAGGAACTGAAGCATACGGAATATCCCCTATCTTGGGGAGGCTGGAGAGACAAGATGTGGGTCCAATGCCGTCTCGACAAAAGCTTTGGGAATAGTGAATGGTTCTCTCTGTTTCCTCGATCTAACATGGAGTACCTTGCGTTACGGGCATCAGACCACAGGCCCATACGCTTCTGTTTTGCTTTGGAACGAGATGAACCAATGAAAGGGAGATTCCTTTTCGACAAACGTATGATTTCTCGGGAAGGTTTCGAGGACTTGGTACGCAGAAGTTGGGATGGAGATGGAGATGTACGAAGTTTCTCAATGGATCGTATCAGCAGATGTCGACGTAAGATAATGGAACGGAGGAAACAAGCTGACCTCAATTCTAGAGAAGAAATTTCTCGTCTCAGAGCTTCACTAGAAAAAGAAGTGGCTAAGGCTTTCCCGTCTTATAGACTGGTGATGAAGATGAAACAGGAACTCGCAGTAGCGCTGAGAGAGGAAGAATTATTCTGGAGACGGAAGTGTAGAGAGGAGTGGCTTAAGGCAGGAGATCGGAATACCAAGTACTTCCACAATTGTGTGAAAGGCCGTCGCATACAGAACATGATTTTGATGCTCTTGGACGATAATAATCAGGAACAATTCTCTGAGGGGGTGAAAGGCAATATGGCCTCGGAGTTCTTCGGAGATCTTTTTACAAGTTCTAACCCTTTTGACTTGGAAACTTTATTCCAAGGTTTCACTAGCCGAGTAACTACTGATATGAACTTGCATCTGGTAGCTCCTGTTACAGCTAAGGAAATCAAAGAAGCTGCTTTTTGTGTTAAAGGGAGCAGTGCTCCGGGAGAGGATGGTTTGACTGGAGTCTTTTATCAAAAATTTTGGCATATCATTGGTCCTAGCCTGACAGAAGTAATTAGACAGTTTTTCCAGACATCGATATTACCAGAGGGTTGGAACCATACTCAGTTGAGCCTTCTCCCAAAGATACCAAAGCCAGAGAGGATGAAGGATATGATACCGATAAGTCTATGCTCGGTTCAGTACAAGATTATCTCAAAAATTTTGTGTAATTGGCTTAAGACTATCCTCCCCGAGATTATCTCTGAGACACAAGGAGAATTTGTATCTTGCAGGCTCATCTCCGATAATATCATCATCGCTCATGAAATGGTGCATAGCCTCCGTACTAATGAAAAAATCGCAAAGGACTGGATGGCAATTAAAACTGATATGTCAAAGGCGTACGACAGAGTAGAATGGAACTTTCTGGAAGTGCTAATGGAGAAGATGGGCTTCGATCATAAGTGGATCAAATGGATCTTGGCTTGTGTGAGCTCAGTTACTTTTTCAGTGTTATTGAACGGAAATTCCCATGGTTTCATCAGACCTGAACGCGGCATTAGAAAAGGTGATCCATTGCCACTGTTTCTTTTCATCCTATGCGCAGAGGCACTCATGTGGAAATTAAACAACTCAGATGCGTCTGGTCAGTTACATGGCATAAAATTGTCTGAGACGTGTCCATCAGTGCATCATTTATTGTTCGCCGACGATAGTCTCCTACATTGTAAGGCATCTGTTGCAGAAGCGGAAGAGATAATGCAGTGCATAAAAGTGTATGGAGATGCTTCAGGACAGATGGTGAACTTCCAAAAATCATCAATTATATTTGGATCACTGGTCCCAGAAGATGCAAAAATGATCATCAGAAATTCCACAGGAATTGAAGCAGAAGGAGGGGAAGGTTTTTACCTTGGAATTCCGGAGTGCTTCAGTGGTTCAAAAAGGAGACTGATGAGCTTCATTAGAGAGAAACTGCAAGGACGCCTGAATGGATGGTTCTCTAAAGCTTTATCGCAGGGTGGGAAGGAGATTCTTTTAAAATCGGTGTGCCTGGCTCTACCGATTTTTGCAATGTCATGTTTCAAACTTCCCAAAGAGACATGTGCAAAGCTAACTAGTGCAATGACTGAGTTCTGGTGGAGTAGTGGAAACAATAGAAAGAAAATCTCTTGGGTAGCTTGGCAAAAGTTGTATAAGGACAAAGAAGCTGGTGGCTTAGGCTTCAAGGAGTTTGGTAAATTTGGGTTATGTTAACTATTGCTAGCTCGATTCTAAGTTCAGTTCTTGATCTTCTTTGTACATGTTCAGTTTAATGGTTATAAGGTTTAGGGATTTAGAAAGCATGAAGACAAGAAGACCAAGATTGTTTACCCAAACTAAGTTGCCTACTCTCTTGGGAGAGATTAAAACTCTCAAGGTATGCACTAGAATCACAATAGTGTTCTGGTGACAATGAATACAATCGTGACCTTATCACACCGGAGAAGATGCGATGATGTATGTGGAAATTTAAATTCAGACTTTAAAAACTGTTAGCGGAAGAAAGCATAGCTTTCCTTAAGATTTAAGATTCTCTGCGATGACCAACGACAGATGATAAAATAAAAATAGAGAAATAGAACACAAATGAATTTATAGAAAAGCAAATCTTTATTTTGAATTTGCGTATGAACGTTTGTGCAACAAAAACGTTTGTAAGGAAACCAGATACAAAGGAAATCAAATAACATAGGCAATAAAACATAACTAAGTTTGCTAGCAAAACCCACGTATGTCGAGAAGACCTATGAAAAAATGGAGCTCGTTTAGCAAAACACGTTAAAAGATATGAAATTTGTTTTATTCATTTTGGACTGGACCTTTATGAAAGACTGTCTACGTACCACTTTCGAGGATTATATAGAACATATTTCAATTTACAAAGTTTGAATAAGAGATCGAACTACGTTTGCGAGTTTGTCTAGTAATCGAGTGCAAGACATAATTTTATTTTGAAGGAAAACATCAGAATAAAATAAAACTTCTTTTTGATACATTATTTCGAAAACAATAAATTTATTAATAAAATTTCATTACCCTTAAGAGAGTTTTATATACAATCTCAAATGTTAACTTTTTATGAATTAATCCTTAAAATTCATATAAATATTTGTATATTAAAATATATAATATTGTATTTTTAGATTTTAACAAAATTCTTAATATTTTTATTATACAGTTGTAAACTTATATAAATCACTGTATATCTTTCCAAAAACTAAATTTATGTATATAATTAAAATTTAGAGAAGATTAAACTATATTTTGATAAAATTTGTAAGTTTTTTAAATAAAAAATTATTAGAATTACTAACAAATATTAATAATTGAATATACGTAAAATAATTGTTTGAGAAAAAAATAAGAGAAACTATTTGGTGCCGAATATAAACTCATTTTGGGTTTAATTTTACAACTACCTTAGTGAATGAAATTGAACAGTGGTACTTTGGAAGATTTACTAACTTGAGTAAATGAAATGTATTTCACTTTTAATAAGTTCTTTTTTTTTAATGAAGGGCATTTCATTTCTAATAAGTTAACAAAGGAGAAACAAGTTTAAGAGAAGAATCAATAAAACAATGATTACAGAAGAGTTCAAAAAATATAATCTATATTTAATCCAAAAGTAATACGAGAATAGCTTTACTAAAATCACGATTTTCAATAGGATTTTCTTTTTTTTCTTCTTCTTGGCTAGTAAAGTAGTTTTCAAGTGAATTTCTACACTTCAACATTATTTTTCACTGCTTGCCTGTTATTTTAGGAGACGTCCAACATGATGATTATAGAGCTATTTCCAGTGACGCATGCAATTGAGGTTCTCATTTTTGATGCCAAGCAAGATGCAGCAACTTTGTTGTGCATTGCTATTCCCATCGACTCTAGGACTCTCTGATCCTGTTTTGACCATTATGAGACTGAACTTTACTTACAACACGGCTTAGTTCTTTAAAAGAACTCGAGGGAACTGGGACATGTCTCATGTCTTCTAATATTAAGACCACAACCAAAAAAATCTATTACATCAGGATTGAGAAGAAAGAGAAGATCAACCACACTAACTCTTCATAGCTTTACTCAAAGTTTACCTCATTGGATTTCTGCTTGCTTCCACGGTTGCAGTCTCAGTACATTCCCGGAGAAACACTAAACACACAGAACAGATTGCTGGATAGAGAGGGAATGGTTATACAAGGAATCATAGTGTTTTAAAATGTTAATAACAGAAAACATGCTCTGCTTTTGAGAGCATACCTAAAAGAACCTGTAGCTGCTCGCAATCCATATACAACACTCAAACTTGTCAAAGATGGAATCATTTTCATATAAACCACATAGCTGAAGATGGCCAAGAGAAAGAGGATTACCAATTGGCTATGCACCATCTCGTTAGATAAAGCTCAATCAAAAGTACATGAAGCTTACTTTAGGTTTCCGATATTCATGAACATGGAAAGTTGCTACCAGACCAGAATCCATGATGATATCCCATAACTGATAATGTAAAAGACACAAACC